GAGAGAAGTGGGGGAGAGAGAGAGAGGGGGGGGGGCGACCAATATTGTTTTCGTTTTGCACACAGCCCCGGGGGTGTGCACGACCCCGTGCAGCACGTCCAAAAGTTTCGCACTCCGCAGGCGCAAAGGCACTTTGAACACATTTTAACACAGTTGAACGCCACGGTGTTCAACGAGTTCAAATGGCAACATAGACGGTCGTCATCACCCTAATAGAACACACGGTCACGTTCATTATATAGCTGCATCTAGAGCAACTTTCAGTCTAGATAGAACCGAAAGAGACCGTGCAGCACATCCAACTACGACTGAAATATCTAGACCGTCTTTGTCGTATTTGGATGAAGACGGTCCTGCAAGTCTGCATTTAGATGAATGCCGCATATTTATATCTGTCATCAAAAGGCTGTCTTACCAACTGGATGCCAGTGACAGATATAGATGTGCGCACGTCAAAAAAAAAAACCGCCAAGAACTGTCAATCAAGCACTTGTCAAGTTCAAAGTTCAAACCCAACTGGATAGAAAGGAGCTTTTGCATTTCCTCAGATTCGAGACCCTGCCATCGCCTATAGAGGAATTGTCTAAAAAAAAAAAAAAAAAAAAAAAAAAAAAAAAAAAAAAAAAAAAAAAAAAAAAAAAAAAAAAAAAAGAGACCCCACTATCGCCTATAGAGGAGTTGTCTGAAAAAAAAAGAAAAAAAAAAGAAAAGAAAAGAAAAGAAAAGAAAAGAGACCCCGGTATATCACCTATCTACGAGTTTCCTGCAGGCTACACGGCAGGCCACACTGGCGCTATGTTCACGTTCATGCTACGAGAAAGCGTCATTGTCATTTTCAAAAGACACGAGGTTACTTTCATGCTAAGAAAGCGTCATCGCCATTTTCAAAAGACACGAGGTTACTTTCATGCATAGAGATTGCCATTTTCAAAAGACAAACTTTTTCGTGTCTTTCCTTTTACTTTCTTTTTTTCATTTTAAAAAGAAATTATAACCTTTTTCGTTTGTCTTTCTTTGGTGTGGATGAGACCTATATGTGGGGACCACGCCAACAAACGAAACGACCAACAGAGAAAAAAACGTTTCTAGGCCTGCGATGCCCTGACGGCATACTCACACTACCGACCTTATCGACCCAGTTGTAGACGCGATTACAGTCAGAAAACATTTCTAATCCTGCGCAAAACGACATCACTTCAGATGCCCTGAGGGAACACTCACACTAGGACCTTTTCGACCCCACCCGTGGATGTGATTCCAGTCAGATGCATCCAGGTCCGGACGTTATTGCAGTCAGCTTCATTTAGAAAAGTGCCAGTGTGAAAACGCCCTGACCAGAGGAGGAAAAAAGTTCAGATAACAAACCATTCCTTCATTACAAGCTACTCCGCGGAATGGTGACCATTGTCTCCTCATACATTTTCACTTTTTTTTTCTTTCTCCCCTCCCCATTGTCTCCTCATACATTTTCACTTTTTTCTTTCTTTCTCCC